GGCATCGGTCAAATTCGATTTTCCTTTTACATCGAACCGAACCATTCGGAATAGCGATCAGTTCTAGTGCCGAGGGAGGACCTTATTCAGGAAGTTCGCGTTGGCTACTATAGGACCGGCCAGTCAGCCAGCCAGCCAGCAGGGGAGTGAAGTGGTAAACTAGATACGGCTACAGATAGGAAGGGAATAGAAGCAGAACCGGGTCAGCTAGCCAATCCCCTCTGCAAAGCACACCAATCTCCCTACCGGTAACATTCACGTGCATATCCTCGAGCTGGCGCGAACTAACTCTCCCTCCTCCCTCGTCCTCGCCTCACCGCGCCAAGCCTTACTGTTTTTCCGCGTTTTCCCTTCTCCATTTCTCCATTTTCCATTCGCTTTCCCGAATATGTACGTACGAATAGTTGGATCCTGTTCCTTCCTTCCTTCCACCCTCTCTCTCTATTGCCGATTCTCCGTCATCGCACTCGGGAGGATTCCATGTGAAAAAGGGAGGTGAGCGCCTAGGAGAGAGTCGATGCGGCGACCCAGCGGGAAAAAGCAGAATCTTGCAAAGTGGAAACACGGTGCCGGTGACGTCGATTCCGTTGCCAGGGACCAGGCCCGGGATATTGCATAATGCCCCCTGCCGTAAAATCCTTGGCCAACCATGGCTCCAGCCTCAAAGGGGAATCCGTTGCTACGCGGCACACGGAACTTTTGCGGTTTCCATCGTCGACATATGACACAGAAGAGAGCCGACGTAGTTCCCCACCCCGCTGCGACGTGTCGCGCGCCGGAAAATTTATCGGATGCAAAGGACCCGACGACGACCGTTTACTTTGTCCCACACGGTGTGTGTGTGTGTATGTGTAACGTTCGCGTTGAAATTAGGCCGAGACGTTGTTACGTACTTTCTTTGTCCAGCGAGTCAACTAGTCGTGATTCATACCCACCCTCTATTGTCCCTCTGCTTGTATCATTCTCCCTTGACCCTCTGTTACGAGATAAAGCTAGATACACCCGTGGAACGTCTTCCAGAAATATTTACATTTATGCGTGAGTACAATTTCGCGTGTACACCAGAGGGATCCACACCACGTTCTATCCAGGTTTGTAGCTCTCTCTGGCCGGCGAGCGGGGTTCGTTTGCGACCGCACACCGCGTCCTCGTGACTAACGAAATAATTACCGGTTTGCATAACTCCGCGCCAGGTAAACAAGCCTAATTATGAAAAATACATATTTCAATGCGCGCCGAAACGGCACTCGCTTCTCTCTCTCTCTCTCTCTCTCTCTCTCTCTCTCTCTTTCTGATGGTCGCCCCCGCGCACACGCTCGCTAATGAACTAATTACAAACGCGCGCACACACAAGACTGACTGGCAGGACGAGAATCACCGCCCCGTGAATACGAGAGACCTCGTAAGACCAGGCTGTGCCCTCTCTCTAGCCACACACGTTTCGCGTGTGTGTCGTCTACGACGTAGTCAAGCTTAATTTCACGTACCGCTGATGAGACTGTCTGCATACTAAAGCAAAGGACGGGCGGGCCGGCAGCAGCGTAATATTAATATGCAATCGAAGCCCTCTTCCGTGTAAGCCGGTTACGACGGAGCATCGCTTAATTTGATGTTCATTCGATTAATTCACCGCGCGAGGCTGTCGGTAGAAATAACAATGGTACCGAGGGCCCGTTACGGGACACAACTACACGCGGCAGCGTTCGATACGTTCGAGGAGACGTTCACTGACTCGGCACGCGTTTAACGTACGTACCTATGCACACGTGGTGTATATCGATAATTTGACACAGAAGCGACGCGAATTCTTTCTCGTCTTACGTCCGAGGCTTCGAGTTTGCGGAAGAATAAAACGTCGATCCGTTGTCAGATTGTCGCGCGCGTCTTCGTATCGCGATGGTAGACGTTCGATCGGTGTAATTGGGATAAATGTGTATTATTATTAGTACATTGTCTAGTATGTTATAATACTTTCTTTTAAAAAAATGCGAAACTTTCTGTATTCTTCGCGAAAGTGTTTTTTTTTTGTTTTTAAGGAGCGATCTGTTTATTACTTATAAAAAGTCTCATTACCAAACTCTCAAAAAGTCTTATAAAAACTTCTACCTTTCTCATAAAAAGAAAATTCCTTGCCTCGACCTGCACACGCTGTCCCACGATATTTTCAAATTTCCCGCTTTTAAATTCTCCTCTGAGCCGCCTTTGTCCGTTTCTTCCCAGCAGCAATGCCTCGTATGAAAATACTTCGTTCCATCGCTCGACCCATTTATTCATGAACAACCCTTCCATTTCTGATCGTGCCACGATTCCCTCAACCGCCGTCGTAATTTTCTTTTCGAGACAAAGAGCGCCTCCATACGTTTCGCGACTCCGATCGGCGATAACCCCGCGCATAAACGTACGCTGGCAGCGTCTCAGGCCCATTTAAAGTATCACGGTCCACCTACGGATCGAGCGGTGCCTTTCGCGAGAGCCCACGACTCTCGGTTAGGGTCGTCCCGCGAGGCCTGGCCGAACGTGACACGTAAAAATATCATGTAGGGTACCGATACATCACGCGATCAGATAAAAGGGAAAAGGGGGGAGAGAGCTGACTTCGTCGTTTGTCGTCCCCGATAGAATCTCCCAGCCCCGCGGTGGCTCGCTTTATTTTTGCACCCAGGTATTTTGATGACTCAACTGCTAGATGGACATTCCTGGGACCGAGGCTCTGCATCCGTGCCGCCTCCGTCTTCAGTTTCTTCTTCGTAACGGAGGTCTCGAGATCGAGATCACTCTCTAAGGGTAGCCCTGCGAACGTTTTTCTAAGTCCTGCTTAGCGGCTACGTGAAGAAGATCGGACCGGAGATAACGAGCTTCTGAAATCTTCATCTGCATAATGTGGTGCCTTGTTGAAAATTGATGGCCATTTCGTCCTGATTATTCCAACCACGAAAAATTTCAGATCGAACTTTCTTCAGTTTTATTTGTTTCGGGAGAAAGAAACGAAGTACTTCAGCTTCGCCCAGTGTAGATGTAACTTTCTGTTACCAACGAATTGAACGAACATCTAATTACTCCATCGACAAAGCAATCCTATCTCGTGCACTTCTTGGCTCGCGTGTAACTTCAGCTCTCATCCACGTGAAATTCCACCAACGTTTCTCTCTCCCTCTCTCATCGGGTTCGCCTCGTCCTTTCGCCAATATTTGCGCTGCACGCGTCAATTATTTACGCGAACACAGAACGCGAATATTCATCGTTCGCCGTGCCGGAATCGTCGCTCGGTTTCGCGCACGCCTGTACCCAGGTAAACGCTAATATCGACGACTTCGACGCGCTATTGACACGCAAAACGTAAACCGCGTAATTATTTCCAGAGCTCATGATCGTTTAACGAGGCTCGCCTACAGTTTCGCCGGCCTGCGTCTGCACACTGACCGTAGAAACGTTCAATTACCATGTTACAACTGTTTAACGTTACATTCATGGACCCATAACACCGTGTATACGATCGGCGATTAAGACGCTCAAACCTCCGTCGTAACTTCGAACGTTAATTAAAACCGTCCTCGCGATTGCTAATTAGTTTCTCTTCTTTTTCGCCAGGTTCGTTACCCTCGTTCGTTGAAAGCTAGGTGTCCTAAGAGTATCGCGAGACATAACTGCATATGAATGGCGGGGCGCATTAGCGATGCTACCGGTTGTCCCGTTTCCCTGCCATAAATTCTCAGCCGGCACAGGTTCGAGCGAATCGCAAACACAAGCGTAATCTGTACGCCGCGAGTTGAAACCGCCGGTACCAACCAAGTGGACGTCTCTATCGTGTCTCGATCTATTTCTGAGTTAATTACCGGCGAAATAAAGAAGTAGGTCGGGTCTGTTTCTATCCGTTGGAATTCACGGAACGAAGACTTCAAGCCACGGTGATAACGAGTCTTTGAATTTTCGCTGGCCTATGTTAATACCTTTCTCCACGTTGCACACACCATCGCCAACCACCACCTCGCCCTTACCTCGCTAATGATTCCGCATACCGCCCTCGACTTTCCGTAACGTCGACGTGCCACTTCGTTCTCGTTAGCCGATCGTGAAACGTTCTGAAATTCCTGACACTTTCGCTGCCCGCCACCGAGCCGCGTATTTGCAACTAGTAATGCTTGTTAATTAACGTTAATTGCGACGCGTAATGAATCGCCCTCGTATTTCGACGATTCTGCTGCATTGTCGAGGTTTCGATTTTCCTGTCGTTTGACGCATTGCCGCTTTGAACCTCTTCGCGGTCGTCGTTCTAATCACTTGCCTTCACCCGGTGGAAAGATTACGTATCTTTGTTCGAGAAAGGTTTCGATTTAACCGATACATTTCCGGTAATATACTATCAATTCAGATTCGAGCGGAGTGTTACTGTTTTGAAAATAAAAGAGAGTATTTAAAATGTTCGAATAATATCGGTAATCGAACTGGTGCGCTCTATCCTCGTTAGCATCTCGTCGAAGGAAAATATTTGTACCTCCGGTACGTAGTATTTTTACCTTGCTTATGCATTACACCATATTCACGAGGGAGAGAGAGAGAGAGAGAGAGAGAGAGAGAGAGGGAGGGAGGGAGGGGGATAAATTAAAAATCAGATGATGCAGATGGTTAATATTGACTCGTTGATTCCGTTTTTATCCAGCCCGATGGCCGTATGGAAAACCGATGCGGCCACGCGAAATTGCCGGCAATTTTGTAGGATCGCGGAATTAAGTACTTCGATCGTGATGTATACACGCTGCCATTCCAGCAAGAGGATTAATTATTTTGCGCCGCGGGTATACCGGGCTGCGGTGCTCAATTTCCTAAAGAACCGCGATAAATAATTCCCTCCTCGGCCGTGGTTCGGCGATCACGCTCAGCTGCTCAATTTTTCTCGTAAATCCATCAAACGATCCTCCGGCGGGCACTTGTGCGCGCCGCCATTGCCCGCGCCACGCGAAATTATCTTTCACGCCGGAAGCCGTATAAATCAAACCACCTACCGTGATCTTCAGGTCCCGCCGGTCGCACGTATCGTATGGCCTGCTGAAACGTAGCACCGTGTGCGTCTTGTTCTCGAAACCCTGTAGCAGACAATAGTCTTGGCTCGAGTCCATCTGCGGGTCCTTGCTCGAATTCTTCACGTGTCGATCCTGAAAACAGACGATACAATTTCTGTTGAAATTTCGTCAATCGACCGGTAAAAACATTAGGATAATCTACGGGGAAACGGATAAAACCCACCTTTCCAATCGAGTTTCTCTCTCTCTCTCTCTCTCTCACCACACATGCACACAGAGATTTCTCGAACAAAAGAACGTTTCGCTGCAATTTTCTCTATTCCCCCAACTATCGCTTCTTCGATATTTCACAAGCTTCGTCGATCTTCGCTCGTTAATAACGTTCCGAGCAACAGATCTTGCACACAGTTTCTTCTACCTGTCCTATATTCCCATGATCGTGCAAAGATATCGAAGCTACCGAACGAGATACTCGAGTGTGCTGCGACAGACGAAATCCTCGGGGAACGCAGCAGAAACGAAACTATTCATCGCGTCGCCTTTTTCACAGATCGCCCCTTTCTCGTTTTTTCTCCTTTCTTACCTCACTCTCGACGCGTTTCGAGAACGACACACCTACCCGGGCGCGCGGAGCGTGGTGAACGGTGGCAGTTTGTTAACCGTCTGAAGGCGGCGTTCGAAGGTTCACAGGACCGAAGACAAGTTTTTCTGCGGGATTCCTGGTCGCCGCCT